AACTATAGACAGTGGACAGCATAGCAGAGCACCTCTCCCAGAGGGAAAGGCTTGGAGAAGTAGGATTGTTCAACCTGGAGAAGAAAAGATTTGGGGTAACCTAATTGTAGCCTTCCAGTACCTGAAGGGAGCCTAAAAGAATGCTTAAGAGGGACTTTTTACAAGAGCCTGTAGTGAGAGGACACGGGGAGTGGATTCAAACTGAAAGAGAGTTAGTTTAGATTAGATAATAGGAAAAAATTCTTCACTCTGAGGGTTGCCAGAGAAGTTGTGGATGCCCCATTCCTGGAAGCATTCAAGGCCAGGTTGGATGGAGCTCTGAGCAACCTGGCCTAGTGGAAAGTGTCCCTGCCCATGGCAGAGATGTTTGAACTGGATGATCTTTAAGGTCCCTTCCAACCCAAACCATTTTATGGTTTCTATGAAATTTAGTCTTGAATCGAAAATTGAAGCAATGTTTCATCAAGACATCATGATGGATTCTTTATTGCCATCAAACTAGGTGTTTTTCTAAAAGATGCAATCTAGTGGTAACAAGATTCCTCCCAGGGAATGCCCCTTCTGAGCAATCCTATGGCCTGCCTTACACCTGGGGGTGACATTGCCATCTGTTCTCCTGGTCTTTTCATAAAGAAATTGTGAAAGTCATCTTCACAAATAATGTCTATGCTCCATTATTTAACTGATGCTTGGGTTTTAGTGCTGAGCACAGTGAAATCCTTTTAACAGTTGCTGGGCACTCCACATTTGACAACCAAGTATTCATTCTACCTCATTTTTTTAATACTTTGACCTTAATCTGTAAAAACATTGATTCTAGAAACACAATTTGAAAATTCTATGTGATTCAAAAGAGGCAGAGTTTTTACCCAAACTCACTTGAGACTTCATCTTCACAACTAGGTAATACTGAGGAAAGGGAAAAGTCCTTGGTGTAACCTCATTCTTCTTGGAAAGGACTCATGGACAGAGACAGGAATATGTGTCACAGAGAACCTCTGTCATAGGTCTATGTGGACATAGGACTGCACCAGAACATGTGTCCACTTGTCTCTGAGTGCATTTTCCAAAAAATAAAACTGTTACCGAGTCATCATCACTGCCTTGGTTAAATGTTTATATGATTGCAAGAATCTGTGCCTAACAGGGCTATTTTTCAAGGTTTTGGCAAATCTAGGCTGGTATCTCCACAATACTCCCAACTTCTGGCAGCTTGGGCAGCTTCCTTGTGCAAGGTACAAGATTCAGCTCCTTCTTAATAAAACCAGAATTGTGAAATGAGATTTGAGATTGGAGGTGTGAAATATGCAACTTTAGGCCTGGTGTTTAAATTTCACGTTATTTCATCTCAGTTCAGGTTCTTTATCCATCTCTTGGTTTTGACATACTGTTAAAATGCTCCCATCAGGTTTTTTTTTGTGGCACTTGTGTGCTTAGGTCTTGAAGAGTGCAATGTTATGGAGAACTGCATCAATTGTGAAGTCCCCTGTGTTTGAGCAGTGTAGGATACATGGGCTAGGAGATTTTGAGGGTATAAAGATCTGTCCCTTCCCAGACAGACATGAATGCTTGGAGAAAGAGATAAAGAGGGACTGTTCTAAAAGCTATCTTGGGATCTTTGCCACAATATTTTGGGTTTTAACTTTGATTAAGGTCCATATTTGTGGCCCTATCAAATTCCATATGAAAATTTCTAAGTAGGTCCAGACTTCTCTTCTTTATAACAAATGAAATCTATTTTCTTTTCCTTTGTACTCTCACTGCTTGTGGGAGCAGGTGTACATCCATTGGCATACCAACCAGATTTTCTGAATAACTTGGCTGCTGCTGAAGATAAACCACTTAAAAACTGTGTTTTCCTTAGCATTTGTAAGAAAAAAATCCATTTAAAGTTATGTGCATTTTTATTTATAAGGACTTGCATTTAATCTTAAAAAAAAGGCAGAAAAGAAATCCAAAACTGAGTTAATTAAAGTATTTTCAATTACTGCTGAGTTTTACATAGCTATAATATTTTTGCTTACTACACAAATATGGAGCTGTCTGGAGAAAATATGGCATTGGGGAACTTGCAAAAAAGGAGACAAGTGACAGCTTTGCCTGAGCTTCCCAAAGAGAAGTTGCTCTCTGACAGCTGTTTCTCCAATGTTTCAGGAGTCAGTTAAAAGGAGCCAACCCAAGAGTTGGAGGGATGTCCCCTGGCAAATGTGTGAATGTTTGACTTGTACCACATAAACACAGCTTGTCACATAAATGCATATCTGTAGAGGATGTCAAGCAGGGTAGCATTTCTGCATTCATGCAGTGGTGTACTTTCCTTGGAGCTGATGTAAGGCCTTGTGGAAAATGGAAATTAGGGATCTCGTTAGCATGGTAGCAATACCCATGGCAAAGGCAGTGTTTATACATCTCCTTCAACATATATTCCTGTGCATGCTGCACTTGGATCTGCTGAAGGCAGAGCAGTGAAGGTGTGTTCAGGGCTCTCAGGCTGACCACCACACAGTGGGAAGGCTGATGGCAGCTCCTCCATAGCCAAGTGTGCCTGGCATCCACAGGGAGGGCTCACTTAGGCAGTGCCTTGGAGAGCAGTGGGAGCTCTGGGTGGATAAGTGCTTCCAAGCTTGTCCATCAGTGCTCACCTTTCTGCATTTGCTGGTAGATTTATTGCATTCTTCACCACGGAGATCATGCTACTAACTGCTTGAGGTGCAGTGGTTAGGGGTAATATGGATTGGGCCAGGCTGTTAATACAGGATTGATTGCTTGAAGCTTGCTCATTGCTGTCTCTCCTGCATGGTGCTGTAGCAGAGACAACTTCTGATGTAACTCACCTGTTTATGTTTCAAAAATCAGTCATTAAATAGCGAGAGGTGCTCCAGTGCTCTCCAGACAAGTGCTGATTGGGCTGTGTGGAGCAGGGGTTGGCCCAAGCACTGACTTGCAAAGCATCCTGGCCTCTGGGTCTGAAAAGCCTTCCCTGATGATCCCTGTGAGTGTGACCACTGCACCAGCCAGTCATACATCCCTTCTGAGCATTTAAGGCAAGTCCTGATCCATAGGTCAGGCCAAGACAATTTGCTCATGTACAAAGTGAGCCCTGTTAGGTACATCTGGCACTGGATGTCCACAGCTAATACACAAACTCCAGGAGAGGGAAGGCTTGGGGACACAGAATTTTGCAGGGACAAATTGACCTGGCTTGGTCAGGTAGCTGCCTTGGTTTGCTGGGGCTTTGTGTCCCCAGAGCCAGCCTCAGGATGCTGCTGGAGTGACCTCTTGAGACCCTGCTTGGCATCACTGGACTCCAGCAGAGTGAGCAAGGCAGTTGCCCTGACACTCATCCCTCAGGTAAAGTGGGAAACTGCCAGTGTGTGGGAAGCCATTAGCCTGCAGGATTGCATTGAATTCCCTTCCCTGTGAGTGCTATTCTTTCACTTCTAAGGATTCTGCTGCTTTGTCCACTTTCTACTGAGCGCATTGCAGAGTGAGTTTCCTGGAGGGAAGAAAAAAAAGACTGCCAAGTACCCTGTTTTCTTATTCTTATCTCATATTTAGTTTCCTAATTGCAGCTTGGAAATAAAATATCCTTCCTGCTAATTTTATTCTTTTGTATTTAGGAAATGCTGCCAAGTCTGACAACTTCTTCCTTCCAAAGACGCACTGTTAAGATGTTTTTTTCCCTGCTGCACAATGACAAAACTGTCAAGAAGCATTGCAGTCTGGAGAAACATTCATTTTGTGTGTGCCAGTGAAGAAGTGCTTATTAACTTTAGTTTAATTTAAATTTGTCTGCAACAGAGGGATGGGTTTATTTACACATTTCCTAATAATGATTTGAATCTCAAAGTTATTTCTGCATTGAAGTGTAAAGTCTTTGAGTGGATTTTCCCAAAAGCATCTAAAGGGATTTGGTATCAGTATTCAGTAGAAGCTGGGGTCTCAATCTTTTACCCTCTGTATTGCAAACTTCAGCTTTGGGGACCTCTCATTTTCAAGACTACTTACTGGTTCTTTGTTAGTGCCACTGTGGAGTTTTTGGGTTTGCTTGGAAAATACCAATACTAATGTAAAACACACAGAGTTTTTGAGGAGAATGTGTTTCCATCACATACAAGGAAGAAACCTTGCTTGGCTACAGGTTGGGACATTGCGAGGCTTTTATCAGTACTGTGTGTGATCCTTGGGCTGCTGCTATAGAGATCACTTAGCCTAGAGGCTAAGGAAGATATAATTAGGAGGGTAGATGGAAAATTAATGCTTCTTTGTGCAAAAGTGTTCTCTTTTGCATACAAATAAAGAGAGAAATCAAGCCGTGAAACTCAACAAGCTTCTGAGGTAATCAAGCCGTGAGCAGTTTCCCCATGTCTTGCCAAGCTCATCTCCCATTGTGCCCCTGGCTTTGGGACTGACTCCAGCTTTGCATCCTTAAACTGCGTGTTGCTTCTAGAAGAGTATGTGGGAGAAAGGGAGGGCAAGAAGAACTTTGCAAACTACTGTCGAAGAGTCCAGAGTAGTCCCTGCTGTACTGGCACTACGAGTGGCCGAGCTGCACTAAAATATTATCAGATCATTGGCAGTGAGTGAGCTCTGAGATGAGACTGATGGGAATGGCTCTGTAATATTAGAAACTTGGTGCTAAACCATAGAGTCAGGAAAATAAATACAAAAAGTCACTTTTTAACACAAAATAGAACAAGTATCTTCCTGGGATCATTATATTTACAATGGCCCTGCCTTGCTGACCTGTCAGACCCGGAGAAGTATTTTTCTTCTGTTTTTTTTTTCTTTCTGGTATTTTAAGACAGATGGTGTCTGCTCTTAAATAATGAAATAAACCATGTTCCACACAACGTAAGACATTTGAAAATGTTGCTATAAATGTACAGAGGTTGTGCACTTCTCAGTTAAAATAGATTCTTTCAAATAATTCTTTCTCCAGCTTTTCCCCTTAACAAAAGTGCAGTTAATCACAGAGTGAAATCTCTTTCCCCCTGCAGATCGTGTTCCGTAAAATCAGCGACGTCAAGCGGGAAGAAGAGGAGAGGATGAAGAGGAAGAACGAAGCACCTCTGATCTTACCCCCGGACCACCCCGTGCGGCGGCTGTTCCAGAGGTTCAGGCAGCAGAAGGAGGCGCGGCTTGCAGCAGAGAGGGGCCGAGATCCGGACGAGCTGGACGTGGAAAAGGGCAATGCCGTCGGGGAGCAGTCCTGTGCTCGAGCAGTGGTCAAGGCCAGCGTTGTGACTGTCCGGGAGAGCCCGGCCACGCCCGTGGCCTTCCAGGCCGCCTCCACCTCCGGCGCCTCCGACCAGGCCAAACTGCAGGCCCCGCCGGCGGAGCACGCGGCCTGCAAGGCGGCGGGGGACTACCCCCGCAGGAAAGGCTGGGCCAAGTTCAAGGAAGCCTGTGGGAAAGGTGAAGACTGGAACAAGGTCTCTAAAGCAGAGTCCATGGAGACTTTACCTGAGAGAACTAAAGCTTCGGGAGAAGCTACCCTGAAGAAGACAGACTCTTGTGACAGTGGCATTACAAAAAGTGACTTGCGCTTGGATAACGCTGGCGAGACGAGAAGCCCGCAGGACCACAGCCCGGTCCTCACCGAGGTCAAGCACTCCTTTTATCCCATCCCAGAACAGACTCTTCAGGCCACCATGCTAGAAGTGAAACATGAGTTGAAAGAGGACATCAAGGCTTTAAACACAAAAATGACCAATATAGAAAATCAGCTAGCTGAGATACTTAGGATATTAACCTCAAGAAGAAGCTCCCAGTCGCCACAGGAGTTGTTTGAAATATCAAGGCCCCAGTCTCCAGAATCAGAAAAAGACGTGTTTGGAGCTAGCTGAGGTGTTTCTTTTTAAAAACAAACAAACCAACAAACAAAGAAACAGCCCCCTAACACTTTACATTTAATCTTTCTTGAAAACGAGTGAGGGACCCGTTCACAAAGCATGTTCCCTCTGTCTAAAAAGGTATGGTAACAGGAATTGCAACCTCATGTCAAGATGGCAGCTGACTTTGAAGCCTTTTTGACAGCAAGGGTACAGTTTCTAAAGTTTTTCTTTTCTCCCTTTGTCCTCATTCCCCCCCCCTCCCCCAACCCCCTTCTCTCCCTGGGGATGTTGGAATAAGAATTCTGACAGCAGCAGCCATCCCTGTGAGCCCCAGGTGATCTCTGAGGTTTTTGGAGCATGCCTTATGTCCTTAGCTCGGGTTATGCCTATATGAATAAGCACTTGCCAGGGTGCTTATATTTTCAGTGTTTGGTGGGTTGTTTGTTTTTTTTTTGTTTTGTTGCTGCTGTCACTGTCTCAGTCACCTCTACAGCATGTTGGATGTCACAGTATATTTTCATATCTGTAATAATGCAAAGAGCAGTAGGAGACGTGTTTCATTGCTTCTGAAGTTTCTTTGGGGTAGTCAAGGAAGGGCTAATAAGATGAAAAAGAAAAGGTACTTTCTATTTCAAATTGACATATTGCTAAAACAATTACATTTGGCAGCATCTTCAAAAACAGCCACAGTATTTCAGATTTATTAATAAATGGGATCTTCCACACTGTCATTCACTGAATCAAGGATATGTTTTTTTCAAAACTTTTTATGTTTTGAAAAAATTTATCTTCTGTTTCAGATGTCTTTCAACATTTGATACTTTTGCTGTCAACTCCAGCTGCTGGAGGGTTGGGTGTGCAGTGTACCTGAGAGCAGCCCATGGCACAACATATTTGAAACATCACTAACAGGTCCTGTAGATTTGCCTCCTGATGAAAATATACTGTGACATTTATGTCCTGTTCTGCTATGAATCTGCTCTTTTAATTCTTGTTAAGTTATTATTCAGAAGTTTCTGTTTTGATAATGTTCATTGTAGCCAAAGGCTTTCACAGAATTTTTAACAATTTAGGATGGTGGCATTTTCCTCTACATCCAGATGTATTGTTCTTGATCTAATCTAGCTTGGAAGCAAATGGATAGTAGAGGTAGAAATACAGTGCTTACTGTATGCAAGTGCTATTGTAGCAAGGAAACAGAGAGATCTGCTTCTTAAAGAAGGAGATGTTTCCAAAACTTATATTTTCATAACTTTTTTTCAGAGGAAGATTGAAGCACTTTACCAAAACTATTCTTCATTATCCATGTAGGGTAGCATAAATGGTATCATGACTTGTGTTCTCACCTTGGGATACGGGTGTACATTCACAATATATTCACTCCACTGACCTGGTATGTTCACTGCTTAACAGTAGCTTAGATCTCAGAAGCATGGTACCATGCCACACTTTAAGGGGTTTTCATTTTAAATGGCAATAGCTCTTAACACTGTGTGTGTTAAGTCTCATTCTTTTTCCTTGGCCATTTACAAAGAAACACATGATTTTTTGGGGGAAGATTTTCGTTCATGTTAAGTACAGAACAGGCAAGGAACACGATCAATTTTAATGATTTCTGCTGGCCTGATGCTTGCACAGTGCAATGCAGAACTGTGTCAGACATCCCTGGGGAGCTGGGACATCCACTGATGACTGGCACAGTGGTGAGGCCGTGCTGTGCCAAAGCTCCCAGCTCAGGTCCTGCTGTCAGAGTGTTTGTTTGTACCTGTTGCTGCAGTAACTGCCCTTGCTCTCAAAGATAACAATTATTCTGAGCGCAGCATCACCATTTCTAAGTCCAGAGGCAGGTGGTTTAGGATTAGCTTTCATTGTCTTACTCCTTGTTTTGGTATGGAGGTGCCCACAGATTGTGAATTCATACCCAAGGATTGAAACACTCCTGAGAAACAACTCTGGGGTTCAAATCTGTAGGTTACCTTCTTCCCTCCCACAGGAAAAGGCAAGCAGGGAGGCAAGTTGCTCTGAAACCAAGAAGCTACTTCCTTAACTTATTTCTGGTTCCATGCTTAGGTTTTTCCAGTGGCACCTGGTGTCTTTTACAGTTGCTCACTGCAGACCTGCAGTGCTGGGGAAGGCACTCTCTGACTAAAGCCACGCTGTTTGTGCTTGGTGCTTTAATTTCTGTAAGTGGCAGCAGTTACCTGCAACAGCAATGGCATTGCTGCCACAGAAACCCATCCATCCACAGCTTCTGTGAGAAACTTTGTCATGATTTCTTTTTCTTTCTAGTCGTCTTAGACAGTAGCTACCACCTAAGTAATCCCCAAGTGAACTGATACCCAAGGATTTGTAATTGATTTCTGAAAGTTTCAGCAAGTTTTCAGAGACTGCCTTGGAGTCAGTTTCCTGATCCAGGCAAATTCCTCACCAGCATGATATTCATGACACTTCATAAAATTTTTGAAAGGCTGAAAGTCTTAGCAAGTCCTTTATGAAAGTGTCACCCATTTACCTGCTGTTGGATAAACAGGGACATGAGCTTATCCCAGGTGGACAAGGGAGGAAATGTTTACAGCCTCCCAAGTACGTGCCTAGTATCTCCAAAGTTGCAGTACAGACCTAAAATTAAACATGCAGTTGCAGGTTACCTGGCCCTTTGTTGCTGATACTGAATTGATGTTTCTCAGTGATATTTTTGTGTGCCCTCAGGGATATGTTAAAGGTGATTCTGCTGTTGCTGATTGCCCAGTCTGGAATCCTAGCAGGACCAGCCCCAGAAGCCCCCTAATTGTAATAATTACCCAGGCCTGTGAACAAAGGCAGACAAGTCCCCATTTTCTGGGGATGCTCCTTGTGTAACCTGATGCTCAGAATGATACCAAACTCCTCACCCTGTATAACAGTGGGTGGGTGCACTCCGTCCTTTTCTAAGGCTTTTTTTCAGGCTCTTGCAATGGCCTATAAAGACATTTATTATTTTTAAAGCCTTCACACTTCTGAATTCCACTTAAAATTTAATGTCTTTGAAGATTATGGCCAAAATTAATTTTATTATGATCACAGAATGGCAGAGAAACTGCTTGCTCCTTGCAATGGCACCTTCAGTGTGTCTGTTCTAGGTGAGTGTGACAATAGTGTCAGTCACACCTGTACAGCTGTAACTGAGATTAGGCCCATATTTGTGAACTGTCAGGCACTAAAACTGATTATAGGAGAGTGCATCATCCCTCAGCACCCTGCATTTGTTGTAAGAGAATTTGAAAAAAATATACTATCTAGGATGAGCTTTGGTGTTTGGTGTTCCCTGGACTACTGGGAGCTTAAAAAGTGAACAAAATGAATAAATCCATGCCCACTCCTTTAAACCCTAGACTAATCTGAACCTGTGCTATGGTGCTCGGGCTCTGCTGATGCAGCACTTTTTCTTTAAAGGCGGCTGAAAGCCCCTGTGTTACAAAATCCATTTTTTTCCACTGAGCCTTACACTCGGACAGATGCCTATGGCTGGATGGCATGTGGACCCATCATAATTGTTACTAGTTCTTTGATTTTATTTGTCAGCTTTTCCTTTTTGTGGTGTTCCTCTCTACATGTTGGTTAAGCCTTTTCACTTAAACTATTTTCCAGCTTAGAATTGAAGGATCTCTCAAAATAAGATTCTGACCCTTCACAAGTAAATGCTTATAGATAGTATAAAGAAAAAACCCAAACAAAAACCAAAGCCTCAGTTTTAACTGTGTTCTGGCATAGTGCTTCTGCCATTTAACAACCTGCTAAATGACCTGCACCATTCTAAACGAGATGATGTGTTCCATTTTGACTCTATGGTCTAATTACATCTCAGCCAAAGGAAGGTAGTTGAGAGAAGGAGCCTGTGTTATGATTTGGTCAAATGGGAACTTCTGAAAGTTCGTGCTAAATGGTTACAAAGAATACAAATATGCAGCACATGAAAAAGGATTAAAAAAGCAAACCCCAGCCCTCACCCCTACCTTGTTCAGATACATTCTGTCTGGTATTACAAGTATACTTTTGAAAACACCATTCTTCCTTTAAATCTCTTCCACAGTTCTGCCCTGAATCCCAGCGAACAACCCCGTTTAACAGCTTCGAAGGCGATGTTCTGTTTCTACAGTACCTCCCTTTAATGAACTGAACAAGATACTTACTGTGACTATCTGGTGATATATTTTCAATCACTCTTAGCCAATCTGTGAAAAAAATTACTACATAATTTGTCTTTACTATATAAACTATGTGTATGATTACGCTTGTGCAGATGCGTGTACATACACACATATATATATAAAATATCTGTGTATAGATAAGTCTATGGATTGCATTTCTGTTAAGTAAAAGCACATTCCTCATTGATTCCAGTCCAAGAAGGGAGCTTAAATCTTCCCAGTAGACATCCACTGAGTGTCCTGTTAGTGTCTTGTTTGTTAACTGTTGAACTTTTAAGGCCATGATTTTTGATTTTTCCAGCTGGCCCCAACTTCATACTGTGCATCTGGTAAACAGTGTGACTGAGAGAAGATCTGGTGAGGGTCATGATAGTCAGGAAAGAGAAATCCATGTGAAATTGGAAAAATGCTGTATCCTAGTTGGTGGGGATAAGGCTCATAAACTGGTGTTTGTTGCTCACGGTATCTCTGAAGCCAAGCTGCCCTGGTAGTGTTTCTCATGGCTTTTCCTGCAAGAGAGATGGTGGAATAGATGGATTTATTTTTTTCTGGTACCAGGGGCTGTCTCAAAGGTGCTGAGTCTATCCTTCTTCTCATGGGCAGCGTAACATGTGGTTGCTGCACCTCTGCTTTCTTGTCCTGGTGTTAGGTGGTAAAAAGCATCTTCTACTGAATTTTTCATTTCCACATAGTCTCCTGTGGGTGTGTTGGCAATAACAAAGTCTGTGTTTTAGCTGCACTTGTGATACATCAAGACAAACCTTTTAGAGAGTCCCACGCAGGGGAAGCTCCAGAAATTTGAGGTGAGGCACAGTAGGATACTGTATCCTCCAATCTGACATCATTTTGACCACATTGTTGTGGGAAGCATTGATTCAATTAAATAAAAATAAAGCTTTTTTTGCAATAAGATATATCCAGCATTTAGCCTTAAGACCCTTTCATAAGTGATATAATTCAAACTGTGATTCCATTCTTCTTCCTTCTTAATGTTCTGTAGTATTTACAGTGTTGCCTAAAGATGAAGCACTTTGATTAGCTTTCTAAATCTAATGGAAATCACTTGCTGGTAATCATATTTCTTTCTCCACTTATTGCCTTCTTATTAGGATAATTAATTACTCCAATTGCCCTCTCCCCTCATAAAACAGAGAGAGATAGCTATTGTCTAAACACTTTTGTATATCAGGGAGCCAACCCATCATATTGCAAAAGTGTTTGTTTCAGAGACTTTTTTTTACAGGTCGACAAAGTTAATGTGAATTTACCTGCAACTGTAATTTGTTTCAAGCTGATTGTTGAGTGTTGTGTAAACATATTTGATGTATAATCCCAGAACACCTCTGTAACTGGATCCAAATGCCTAATATTAACAAAACAGTTCGGGGTTTTCACTAACTGTTCTGAAAGGCTCATGGGTTTTTTTTCTTCTTCCCACTAAATCTGTGACCACTAACATAGAAGAAGAATCATTTTAGCTGTAGACGAAAGAAGTTCAATAATCTTGTATCAGGATGAACTGCTATATAAAGAAATACCAAGTTTTCCAATGAATGTGTTCTATTATTGTACCTACATACAATCAATATTTGTACATCTGTTGGAGACCTGTCTGCGTTTCAATATTTAGCCACCACTGCATGGACACTTGATTGATATGCAGTTAATGCAGTTGCTTTGGCGCTTTTCAATGTACTTCACTTGTTTTTATCCTTTCAGAAATCCACCAAATACTCTCAGTTCTTTTTCTTTGCATTTGTCACTTTGTTCAATGAAGCATGACTAGAAACAGAGAATGAGTAGATACTATTTTTGTGGTCAGCAAAGCAGCTGCCAGTAGATAGACAGTGTGTGTATGTATGTATGTATACGCACTGTCCGGGAATGTTTCAAATTCAAATGCAGCCACCTCCATTAATGATATCCCTAGTCAACATTTTTAAACAAGCACAAATAATATTTGTAAAAAAAGAAGTTTAATTTTATTTATTATAGTAATAAACTATTTTATACATTACAGTTGCCTTGGTGTGCTTTTCTCTGTGTCAAATATGTGCTCATAAGATCAACAAGATGGTTTTAAATTACTCTCTGGAACTTCTGGCTAGCAGTTTTTTTGCTGTTGGTTTGTATCTCAAGTGTTATCAGTGGAGCAGTGGGATATTATTGCTTTGGTTGTAAATTATTCAGGTTGTTTTTTCAAATTTCTTTCTGCTGTGTATCAGTGCAGAGGGATTCACATTTCCAGGCTCACTGTAAACTAAACTCAGGTGCTTTGTACAGTGAATATCTTGACACCCCAGGCAGTATCCTGTGCTGTGGACCTCAGTCTAGCCCAGGTATCTGCTGAGCAAAGAGATCACCAGAGGACTGGCTGTCACCTGTCTGAAATGATCATCCCATGTCCTGAAGGTACATGTCTGTAGTTGGTTTGTGTTTTAGACTCTGTTCATTACTGCAGTATCTGGGAACTTTTACAAAACTCATGGAAATCAGAGATCAAAGAACCTTCTGCTTTCCTGTCATCTGCTGCAGAAGAAAGTGACCTCACCATGGATTTACACAAAGGTGAGCCCCACAGAAGAAGCCCCTGAAAGTGACACTACTACAACAGGCAGCAATGAATATTATTTTGTTGGCTACCTCAGCAAAGGAATCAATAACCAAAGGTCACGGGAATGGGAGATCCTTTCAGATCAGGATGGACACATGTGACAGGATCACAGTCACTCCTGCAGGCCAGAAGTCATGCAGAAGTTTATACAAAGTTTTAGTCTTTAGGATATCAGCCTGGGCCCTGTGAGCTTTGCAGCCATTTTTGTGGTTCATTCTCCATCCTCTCACTCAAAGGTCTGGTGAATGTGGCTGTCACCTATATTAAGACACTCCATGGGATTGTCAATCTCATCTCCAAAAGAACAGCAATAAAGCATAAGCTTTCAGACTGCCGAGCTGGGGCGGAACTGTACGGAGAGCAGCCAAGGAGCACAATGAGGAGCTATTTTTAACACCATTTCTACATCCACTGTCACATGTGGTGTGACAGGATCTCTCGTCACTCGCATTGTTTCTCTGGCCAGCGTGAAAATCCAGCTTTCTTTTGCATTTTGTTATACAGTGCCCTTACACTTACTAGAAAAGGGAAAACTACCATAGTGAAGGCATGTACTTTCGCTTGGTGGTTTTTGGTTTTTTTAGGTCTCTAGAGGCTGTTGTGCTCATTTTCTGAATTCTTTATTATTTTCTTTGCTCCTGCATTCTTCACAGCCTCCGTGGCAGTGCTCCAAGCCTCAGTGAGCACAGGAGGGGTAGCACTGACCACACAACATTCCCCATCAGAGTTTCTCTCCCCTCAGCAGCCCCACACATTTTCAAACCAAAGGTAATTAACTACAGCACTTTCTGCCCAGGTTTGCATGCTAGATTGCAAAGGCTCACGTTCTGCATGCTGCCTGTCAGCTCTGTGCTCAGCTGGGTAGCAGCAGCCCCAGCAGCTGTGAGCAGCTCATTACCTGCACCAGCCCCTGCTCCTCATCCCCTCCACCTGAGAGCATATTCACAGCAGGGATAGAAGGTTTCTAAAGTACAGGGAGTGTGCTGTAGCTTCCGATTTTTCTCATAAATAGCTGCAGGTGTTGTTATTCTGTTTGGTGATGAATTAGTTTACAGCTGCTGGAGACCCCTGCCAGGCATGAGGAGTCTTTACCCAGTTGGGTGTGTGGCCCTGGGACAGTCAGCAGTGCATTGGCTTGTGGGGAGGTGAGTCTGCCTACACAGTTTTAAGCTCTGCATTTGGTAATGGAGGTTCTTTACTTGTTCTTTGGTGCATTTTAGTATCTGTGTTAAAGTCAGAAGCACTGTCTCTGGTGCTTTTTGCAATGGAGTAAAGAAAACCAGCATAAACTAGCTTTTCTGTGCTGTGACAGCCAGTGGAACTGAACTGCAGCAAAATCTGTGCAATAGCAATGAGTTTTATTTGCTCCCAGAGCAAATAAACTAAGGAAACATCAGAACTGTTCCTGTTCAGTGTGTCCCAGCAATGTGTGTGCCTGGTGCAGGCCAATGCTCAGGAGACTCCACCAAAGCTTGGGGAGAGTACTGAGCTCCTCTCACCCAGTGGGAAGTGGCTGCTGCATCCCAATACTGAGGCTGAGGAGACCTTGGCTGATTAGTAGCTCTCTGAACTTGCCTTCTGCTCCAGGAGTTAGGCTGGTTAGTAAGGCTGTGTATCCAACCAGAAATTGCTGGGAGGGATGCCATGTTGCTATGGTATTTATTGCTGCCAGTGGTGTCAAGGGTTTAATTGCAACACACATACAAAGAATCTCAGCCAATGTAAGAATTTTTCACCTAGAAGATTGAGTCTGTGCTTCTTTTGTTATAATTCACCACAACTTCTGTCTTCATATGTAGCAGCTGGGGGAACTAACCTGTCCTGTTCTTGAAAGACAGGATGACTAAAAACCTGTGAGAAATCCAAAAAAGGCATTAGAGAAAGTGAACTCCTGAAGTCTGTCAGAAGTAGCTATCAAGATGCTCATGCACAGCTGTATCTATAAAATACATGTGCTCAAGCCTTGTCTTTTTGCTTTTTTTTCCTTTCCTTTTCCATTCCTGCTTTCCCTTTCCTAAATAAGTTCAAGTCCTTATGTAGCACAGCCAAATTCAAATTTAAGCTGCTCCACGACACAGGTGTGGGTTTAAAACAAGCTTAACTTTGGCAGCTCCATCCATCATTACCCGTTGTGAAGCTTTCTCCCTGCAGCCCCACTTTAAGTGCTTATGAAGGCAGGAGTGTCTGAGAAACCTTGAAGAGGTTTTGGTTCTTTTTAAGCTTTGCTCACTTGCAGAGATTTTCTTGAAGAAGTTGTGTTCAGGGGGATGAGAGGAAAGTATGAGCTTTGCTGTTAATTCCTGCCCTGGGAGGGGAACACAGACCTCCTGTAAATGTCACTGCAGTTTCTATGTGCAGATCTGAGGGGATTGTGCTTTTGCATTGGAATTCCTTTCCACAGTCCCAATCTCCCAGCCTACTGGGGGCAGAGAGAAGCCGTGCTGAGTATCTATTACACGTGTGGATTTTCTATAAGAGGAAGATTATGGCCTCTTCTTCATCAGGGGCTGCCAGTGGAAGGAAATGCTAAGCAGCACAGGGAGTGCACTATTGAGCCTGGGAGCTACTGTGTGTGCTCAGCAATGGGACTAAGACAGCTCAACAAGAAATGGCTCTCTGCAAGCAGGGCTTAGAGAAGAGAAATAGATTGCTTTCAGAGCTCTCCAGCAATCTCTTTTGGTGAGTTTTACAGTTAATCAGAAGGTATTTTAGAAGAACTAACGATAACAGGAAAATGTATTGAACATTCTCAGCGTGAGAACTGGAAAGAAAGCTACGATAATCCATATGGAGCCCCAAGTCAAAATAAAGTATTTATTTTTGTTTTCCTTTAGAATAATAACACTGCACTTGCAACCTGACTAGTGAAGTGGACAGATAAAAATATAAAGTAAG